ACCCCCTGCGATAGTTGGAGGAAGTTGGCAGCTGGACGAAGGTGTGCCCGCAACCGAGAGGATGGCGTTTGAAGTGTGAGAGTGCGGGAGCCCCCGCAGCACCCCCAGCGAGGTCAGCCTCAAGGTGATGATTGATCAGACTGGATTGAGTTCGGTAGATACTGGTGCGTACGTGCTAACAGTCGCAAGAGGCGAGGGACTGAACGTTGCACGCAGAGTCTGGTCACTAAAAGTTCACCTCCAGTCGTCGGGACCTTGTCCTACCGTCGCATCAAGATGGATGAGGAAGGGGATAGTGCGGTAGACGCTGCGAAAGTCCGTCACTTTATAAACTAAGTAGCGTGCAACTCACTGGTGGGATCCCCCGGATGAACGTAGTCGCTCGCGTCAGCTACACACCCCAGTTACTTTCCTAGTCGTCTTCGTGCAATATTGCCGATGTGACCAGATGCGACAGGGGGGTGTGGACGGCATCCACAGAGCCCTCCAATCAGCGCTAAGAACCATCCTTGTCAGTGAAAGTGCCCCCCATCGTGTTTTTTAACTTACCTATGGAGTGCTCTCAAGAGACTGTAGTGAAACGAGGCAGATATCCTCTCACAGTTTTTATTTTCTGCCTCGTTTTAGACCAGTGCCAATGGACGGCATCACACCAATGTTTACCAAGAAACTGTCCGACGTTGACTGTGAAAGCGGTGAGGAGATTTGGTTGACCTGCAGAGTTGTCGGAGACCCGCTGCCGCACCTGCTTTGGTGAGTCTTCTGGGCATTGCATACATAATTATGAATGCATTCTTGTCTGGAGTCTTTATTTGTGGTGGTGGTGGTGATGGTGGTGGTGGTGGTGTTGGTACTGCTGGTGGTGATCGGGGGGGCAACGATCACTTCTTCTCCTTCTGAACTGCTTCTCATAACTTGCCTGTTTGTCTCTATCAGCTATCAGCATGCGTAGTTATGAATGCGTTTTTTTCTGGAGTTTTTGATTGGTGGTGGTGTTGGTGCTGCTGGTGGGCTTCTGGACAGGAAAAGAGAGGTACGATCACTTCTTCTCCATCTGAACTGCTTTCCGTAACTCACCTGTTTGGCTCCATCAGCTGTCTAGATAAGCAGAAGGAATTGTGGTCTAGGCAGATAGTTTTGCCGGCAGAGACAAGGGAGACTGGAATGACTATTTCTGGCTTATAAGCCTTCGCCATCCAGTCATACCCAGCTCCAAGTGGTCACCAACCGAGGCTCGGACTCACAACCATTTTTTTTCAGAGTCAAACGCCCTAACCGTTGAACTGCTACCTTGTTCTGTTGTCAGTTTAGGTCAGGAGACATTGACACCCTCTGTTGAGCGTTCATTAACCTCTAACGAAACTCATTTGTCCCGCTCTGCCTATACTGCTAATACTAGCTGCTGCGGCTGCTGTCAGGGCCGGAGAAATGCGTCCCAAAGCAGAGCGGGACAAGTGAGTTCCGTTAGCGGTCAGTGAACGTTCATCAAGGAGTGTCAATATCTCCTTACTTAAACCGGCAAGCCAGCAAGCTCGTAGCTCAATGGCTAGGGCGTTAGACTCTGCCCGAAAAAGTCGCGAGTTCGAGCCTCGGGCGGTGCACCATTTGGGGCTAAGTATGACGGTTGACGACGAGAATTGTCATTCCAATCTTCTTTGCCGACAATCCTGTCTGCCTAAGAGCTATCTTTGTTTTTTGTCGGTGTACCGCGGCATGGAAGAATGCAGGCAAGAACACGTAAGGCTCAACTTTGGCCAGGAGCAAATGCCTTCTGTCTGAATTCGGCAATGAAATACAGGAAGGTTGCGACTTTCGGTTCCGTCTGCTTAGTCCGTTTAACATCTTCCTCGTCTACGTACAAATTACATCTCTGTAACACTTTCAGGCGACACAACGATCGATATCTCGAGGGCTCTGATGATCGCCATTCAATAAAGACCCGTGATAACACCTCAACTTTGGTAATACGAGCAGTTGAGCCGAGTGACCGTGGGGTCTACGTATGCAGCGCAGCAAACGAATTCGGCAAATCGCAGACCTCCGCTCAAGTGATCGTAGATGGTATGTTTACCTTCCACAGTAGTCTAGCCTTTTTTCCTGCCGGCGTCCCTGTTCCGCTTCTATATACGCTCACCTTACTTTCAGGTCGCGTGTCTCCATTTGAGGAACAGGAGGATTTGGAGGGTGAGATGGCTTCTCGCCTGAGCATCGACAGAACCTTGAGTGAGTTGATTCATTGAAAACTTTTCCTTTTAGTAGACAACTTTTATGTTTTATTCCTTACATCACCCTTAACTCACTTGGGCTAATAGTCTACACCCAATGTCAAATAGATTATGCCCTATTGAAGAGATCTTACTAAAGCGTAATTTTCTTCCTATAATGATTCTCCTCATTAACTGTGGAAAAATATTTAATCATTTTTCGTTCTGTGTGCGTATTCAAAAATCTAACACGCCACCTGTGGAGCTTCATCCTGCTAGTCAATTTAGAAAACATTACCTAAATGAAATTATTTTCCTTAGAGGACGCATAAAAACATTTAGGATATGTTTGCATGTTTTTTGACTGTGTAGCCCGCGCATGCAACCACTTCTACATGATTTATCTCACTACTATGTGTGATCCCTTTTGATGGTTTGTAGGTCTTCCTCGAGCTGCACCAGACGGTTTAATGGTGGAGAGATCTACTCCCGAAGAGCTGAAGCTTTCATGGTCTCCCCTGCCCGATCCGGACATCACCTATACGATCGAGGTTTCCAAGGACAATGGACGTTGGTGGCAGCCTGTCCTCACTGGCATCCGCGAGACCTCAGCTGTACTGCCTCCAGAACACTCCTATCCCCTTCAGCCTATTCAGGTGCGCCTGTTGGCGGAGAACTCCAATGGAACCGGTCCCCCGTCAATGCCGGCCCTCCGGAT